CAGTCAGGGACCCCTTGGGGGATGTCCGACTGCCGGTTTAGGCCCGATCCCACAGGCAATCCCTCCCGCAATCTGGGACTGCTGGCTCCTAACCGCTCGCCTGCCTGCCTGCCTGATCGCCCCCAAACTGCCCCCCTGCTGGCCTGGTTGCTCCCCAACTGCCCCTCTGCCAGCCTGGTCGCCCCCCAACTGCCCCCCTGCCAGCCTGCCTGGTCACCCCCTAACTGCCTCTGCTTGCCGGCCTGATCACCCCCTAACTAACCCCCCTGCCAGCCTGGTCACCCCCCACTGCCCCCCTGTTGGCCTGGCTGCCCCCTAACTGTCCAGAAGGAAGTCGGATGTCTGGAAGATGTCTGGTCGACCCGGTCTAATTAGCATATTACCCTTTTATTAGTATAGATTAGGCACTACTGCAAATATATAAATTCAGCTTTCCATCGACGCTGTAAAACAATCTTTCATGGTAAATATTATCTCCTCTTTACAGATAATACAGATAATAATTGTGTTGCCTAAGTTCAATAGGGCTAGGGAGGCGGTAGGATGATTGGACTTGGACTTCCAAGCTGGTGTTCAGTCCAGGACAATGCATAAGCTTTTTGTTCTAAAACACTATACAAAACTCATAATTTCATAATATGAATGATGTTTTAGCCAGTCCAACTGACCCCAGATTCATGAGTCTTTGCTGTGTTTGCTCCAACAGCACTGTGAGTAGTTGAGGTGGCAAAGGGCATCCATTATGCATCAGCGTGAGAAACACGACCAAAGGCAGGCTTCCAAGTAGTTACTAAAGTACTATTGTTCAGCCTTCAGTGCTTTGTAAAATTCAGGGTTGAAAATAATGGCTACTCATTGTCATTTTATAAACTTTCTTTGGAAACATTTTTATTAGTTAAATACGTCAGGTCATGAACAGCCGGGGTTTTTTTAGACTTGAGGAAATGGTGGCCTGTGCCTGTGTCCATATTATGAGGTAATTGGAATATTTTCAAAATCACCAAAGTAGAAACACATGCTAAAATGATAAAGAAAACAGAAAGCAAACAAAACAAAACCAAAAAACAGAAAAAATAAGTACATGGTAATCAAACACGTCATATATCCCTACGTCTTGATAAGGGTGATGACTCTTATGTGTGAAGTTAGATGTCACTCAAAAGCATAGGCCATGATTAAAAATAGTCGCTGTGGTCAGACATGTGAGACCACAAAGCGGAATGAGTAGAATCTTGAGCCGCATGTATTTTTTTTAGAAATGTCCTAATGCCCATTTATTTACAGCAACAAGCTTGGCCATTCACTAGCAACCAAGGCAGGAAGAAGTCATCTGATATGAACATAAAATGTTAGTTTCTTCAAGTTGTGTTCATTCATAAAATAAATTATATATAAAATTTCATTATTTGTATAGCACTTTAATGCATATTATTGCATATGTTTTTCATAATATTATCTTGGGGAAGAAAGGGTAATTATTTTTCTTATCCCTATGTGATTAGTGAGGGAATGAGGTCAGAGAGGTCTAAGGTCACATAGCTATTGGTGGAGCCCAGACTCAATGTAGTCACCTAACCATTAGCCTTAGTAACCATCAGAAAACATTATTCAGGTCCACTTATTATTTAGATGGAAGTTATGTCAAGAATCTGTTGTCAGCAGGTGGTTTAGTATTTAATAGAATCCTACAATTGTAAAGTGATCCCTAGATCCTAGAAATTTAATCTGGCCATCTCCTTTTATTTTGTGTTTTAATGATAGTTCCATTCTGTTAATCCTTCAAAACCAAATTTTAACTGTCTATATTTGTAAAAAAATACTAAAATATAGTTTGTAGCAAGATTGGTCATATGATGCCATGTATTTTTTTCTAATGTACAAGAAAGTCACAACACAACACATTGGAACACTTAGTATATATCTCTTAAGAGAGAATATAACCTAAAGCAGTTCATCTATAATTTGCTACATTATATGGTTTATAATTTACTCTTCCCAATTTGTCTTTGGTTACTTAATCTACATTTTCTTGGGAAAACACTAACAACAGAATAGAATTTATGTTGGAAGATGATTGAAAGCTTGAGACTAAAATTTTTCTACACCTTTAACATCATGTAAATAATCTATATCTATCTTATCTATATCTATCTATCTATCTATCTATCAAATATTTCCACCTCTATATAGGTTACATTTATAGTCTAACACTTTGTAATTTGTTTTATACAAATTCCACATAACTCTCCTATTTTGAAATATTCTGAATATTAAAATGGTATTTTAGCTGGAAATAAAACACTTGTGATATAAATGCACTGTTATTAGCAACAGTTGTGTTATACACTTGGAGGAATAGAGAAGGCGAAGACATTATTTTATGTAGTACAGATTATATCTACTATAAAGTTCAGAGATGATATACTAGTGAAAAACTAGAACATTTTTGTTAACATGTGAGGTAAGGTACTCGTGATCGGAAGAGATGAAAGGTAGTCTTGTCAGAGAGGAAGTAGGCAGCAAGACTAATTCAGCATATCACCAGCAAATTAAGAGTGGGATTCTTCTCTTCTCTTTTGAGCAATTCTGTGTTTATATTAGGAACATTTGATTGTGAAATTTATTAGATTTTTCCATTTTGCTTTAGTTGTTAAAAAAAAAATTCCAGTTAACACTGATTCAGCCATAGAAAAATTTACCAATCTTCATGGAATAGGTTTTAAACCATATTCCTGATTCCATTTCATGGGCTTAGTCTTATCTTTCTCCCACTTACTCCTATTTTTAATATTTTTCATTTTCTATTTCCTTCCTTCTTCCCTTTCTCCCTTCCTTTTTTTCTTTTATAACTATATAACTCATTTATATTACTTTCTGTAATGAGATGGAAACATAAATCACTTATACCCTAACACCAAATATATTGCCCGACCAGGGTAAGAGCTATTTGCTAAATAAATTAAATTAATTGAGAATAGAATATGAAAAAAAGAGTAATCTTACTGACACTTTGAACAATGACATGCCAAGGTTTAGTAATAGATTGGGTAAAAGCAATGAGTTTAGGAAACACTGAATAAGTTTCCGTTCTAATCTGGAATTCTGGTAGGGAAATGTGGAATAGCAGTGGGTATTAACAAGTAATGCAGATTTATGGAAAAATGGTTAACTTTTATTTGAAAAATAATCTCTAGTTGTATATAATCTGTAAAATGCTTCAACTTTTTGACAATCCGACCATGCTTCTGTATCCCTCACTTATGAGTTCCTTTAGAAGGATCAGGGTGTTCTGAGAGGAAGGGCAGTGATGGTCATGCATGTGTCATTACCTGTGGGCTTAACACCTAGGACTGTCCTCACCCACGCCGGGCATAGATAGAGACCCTTTTCTCTAAAATCACAGGTAGTGTTAAATAAAGTTCTGGTTTTATATTGTCAGCATGATCACTCCTTCAGTTTTAGACCTTCCCAGGGTGCATTGGATACAAACATGGTGGACAGTTGGGGAGCGGGTAGGGGCATCTCAAGAGCGACATGAAAGAATGAAGAATACACAATGTTCTTAATAACACGGTATGTGAACTGAAAGTAGGCAGGAGTAAATTCAAATCTTGTGTTTGGGCTCCAACAATAGGGAGCGCTTCTTTCAAATAAATTCACATGAAAATGAGTAGGACCTTAATGTGATATAGTCCAAAAATGTTATATGATTAAATGAGAAGGATATACAAACACGGGCTGTGGTGACAGAGGTAAAGCGGGCTCCAGGGAGATACATGTCATTGTATCCTCTACTCTCGGTCTTGGTCTCAGTGACACGTTTTGGGGGGTGTTGACTAACAGGCACATTCTGGGGTCAGGCTGCTGGATGCTTTCTGTGCAGGATCTCACGGAGAGAATCTTCTCTTTAGGTGAGAGATTGGATGCGAGAACCTCTTCATGTGCCTTCCGACTCCAAGAACTTACGGGCAGGCTTAACATTTTCAGCTGCGAATTTGTGTATCTATTGAAGTCACTTAAAGCTTTTTAACACATGAAATAATTGAGCAACCACCAGTCTTGGTTACTTCCTTTTGTTCCGTGACTAAGTGGTCTTAGTTATAAAAAGTGTTGAGTGGGTGGAAGTCAAAAGTAACGTGTCGGAGACAGAAAGACGGTGGTTAATGCCCTTCAAAAGCCCATCACCACCCTTGGGTTTAAAATAAACTTGAGGAAAAAGATGCCTCATTTGGTCTCATCTTTTTTTTAACCTCTGGAATAACCACAGGAAAAAGGAAAAGAGTCAGACTGTGTGTTGCGTCATTTAATGAAAAGATTAACGTTGTCATCTTTGGGTGATAGTTTTCGAGCCCGTGTCCCATAGCTGCCCTGATGCCCTGTATCCTGTGAAGCTTTCCAGGATATGGTATTACATATACTACATTCATGGTATTATATGTTACCCTGTACATAATGCCTTATGGTATATACAGATGTTGAATTATACTGTGGCGCACCTAAAACTTCTATAGTGTTGTAAACCAGTGTTACCTCAATAAAAAAAAGTCAATGAAACCAGTTCCTTTGTAGAAAAGATACATCAACGTACTTTGCTATAATTTCGATGAAGAAAAAGACCACTTTGTCACCCTCTTGACTCATTTTCTGTTTGAATTTAGCATACCCAGATTAGCCATGAGCATCGCTAAAGGCAGTGGCCTTTGGAAGACATTTGGGTAATGACATTTCCTTCATAATTTGAGAAGCCGTCAGGAGAATATTTATTATGTTCAGGACCATAGCACACTGTGGGGATGGTCTTACTCTCCCCCTCTTGCGCCCCCCCCCCCCCCCCACCAAGGAGTTGCACTCCTGTGTCATCAGCTACAGGATTGAAAGGCCAGGGTGACGCATACCAACCTCAGCTACATCAGCACAGGACCTTGGGCTGGTTCATTCAGAGTGAGGTGACTTTAACCTTCAGTCAACCTGCTGGAGAATCAAGTCAAGAACTCATTCTAGTACTCACTGCAGCACATATGCTAAAAGTGGAACGATAACGAGAAGATTAGCATGGCTCCTGCGCAAGGATGACATGCAAATTCGTGAAGCTTTCCATATGTAAAAAAAAATAAAAAAAATAACTCATTCTAGCCCAGCCAGCACGGCTCAGAGGTTGAGTGTTGGACCAGGAGGTCATGGTTTGATTCCCTGTCAGGTCATATGCCTGGGTTACAGGCTTAATTCCCTAGTGTGGGGCGTGCAGGAGGCAGCTGATAAATGATTCTCTCTCATCATTGATGTTTCTCTCTCTCCCTCCCTCTCCCTTCCTCTCTGAAATCAATAAAAAATATTAAGAAAAAGAAAGAACTCATCTGAGTTTACCATGGATTGGACAGGGAAGCCTGGGCACTGGAAAGTAAGATAAAAGGGAAGGCCTTAGCAGTTTGAAGGGTCTAGAAACTCCTAGAGCTCTATGGCCTCTGGAGTCAGGCCCAGTAGCTTCCCATCTTGTCTCCTCACTTGGTAGCAATGTCGCCTTGGACCAGGGGTCCTCAAACTTTTTAAACAGGGGGCCAGTTCACTGTCCCTCAGACCGTTGGAGGGCCAGACTATAGTTTTAAAAAAAACTATGGCCGAAACCAGTTTTGCTCAGTGGATAGAGCGTCGGCCTGTGGACTGAAGGGTCCCAGGTTCGATTCCGGTCGGGGGCATGTGCCTGGGTTGCGGGCACATCCCCGGTGGGGGATGTGTGGGAGGCAGCTGATCGATGTTTCTCTCTCATCGATGTTTCTGACTCTCTATCTCTCTCCCTTCCTCTCTGTAAAAAATCAATAAAATATATAAAAAATAAAAAAATTAAAAAAAACAAAACAAAAAACTATGAACAAATTCCTATGCACACTGCACATATCTTATTTTGAAGTAAAAAACAAAACGGGAACAAATACAATATTTGTATTTGCATGTGGCCCGAGGGCCGTAGTTTGAGGACCCCTGCCTTGGACAAATGACCGGACCTTTATGAGCCCCGGTTAACCCAGCTGGATAACGTAGAACGTAGAAGCATGGATCTTCAAGGGTTGTGGGTGAGGATGAAATGAAAAGGGTAGTGCCTGCTCGTGGAAATGGCAAACAGACCGGCCCCAGCTACAGTTCCCCAGGGCCTCCCATGCAGTGTCCAGAGTCATACGTTATGCTATGAGTTATGTTAGAAAAAAAATTATCTTTCCGTTTTCACAGACATAGTCTAAGTATTAAGAATTTGTTTGGGGAATAGTATAGAACCCTTTGAAGAGCAACAATCCTCAGTATGGAGATAAGTTATAAGGAATAGAGAGATCATATCTCTGAATTGATGGCTTGTCCTCACTCCCTCACACATAAGTGCCCTTGGAGAAGTCATTTTGCTTTTCTAACCTTTTAAGATGGTCTAGATCAGTGGTCAGCAAACTGCGGCTCAGCAAACTATGGCTCGTGAGCCACATGCGGCTCTTTGGCCCCTTGAATGTGGTTCTTCCACAAAATACCGACTTCTGCGCATGGGCCACGAAGTTTCAATCGCACTGTACCTGTGCGCCCGCACGTGGTATTTTGTGAAAGAGCCACACTCAAGGGACCAAAGAGCTGCATGCGGCTCATGAGCCGCAGTTTGCCAACGACGGGTCTAGATTAGTGGGTGGTCCGTGAGGCCCAAAAGGTTGGCGACCTGGTCTAGATCAAGGGTGGGGAACCGTCTTTCTGCCAAGGGTCACTTGGATATTTATAATATCATTCGCGGGCCTTACAAAATAATCAGCTTAAACATGAGCCTGCTCTGTTTGCTCAAACATTTAATGAACTCACCCCTAATGCCTTGGCAGGGCCAGACCAAAGGATTCCGTGGGCCTTACATGGCCCCTGGGCCAGACATTCCCCACCCCTGTCCTAGATGGTCTCCCATTCTTCTTCCAGGTCGAATAGTCTATGATTTTCATGTGTCTGTGTATACCTGTTATTTACATTTATGTTACATATATGCACATATATTTAAATCTTTCTACCTATATCATAGTTATTTTTTCCCTGGAAATTTCTCTTTATAAGTGTCACCATCCCATGTTGGGGGGTTTTCCTGGGAGAAATGAATGGTTCGAGCACATTGTGGAAGAAGGAAAGCCCTGGGGCTGATGGAGGTAAGCTTTGATAAGGATGAGGAAGTATCACTTAGCAAAAGTGGTTACTGTGCTTAAGGAACTAGGCTCTGAAGTGTGAAGTAGATCAAATCTCGCTGCCGCTGACGGCTCACTTACCACGCGCAGCCCAAGTCGCGGAGCTGCACGCTTTACTAACGGTACTTTTCTAAGCATTTTTCTCAGACACGTTTTCTAACTGCCTTTCAATGTGGGATGAAGCCGGTCCAATAGCTCAAGTTGACTATTTCCAAGTCGTTTAGTCAAATTTCCATGCATCAATCTATGTGGTGCTCTGAATCCATCTGTTAATACTTTTATTTTAGTTCACAGTAGAGAGTTCATTTCCGAAATTACGTGCACATCACTTGTCTTGGGGCTTTCTTTCCTCCTCAAGTTCTAGGTAAAAATGTCCCCAAAACTTGAATTTCATTGCGTGTGCAATCCAAAAACCACCTTTCTCTGAATTCTGGGGAAGAAGGGGAGGTGGAGAGCTTAAATTTCATGGTTTCCACCGCTTCCTGTGTCTTTTCTGTGTTTCATGTGGAGGCTTTATTCGTTATCACCTCAACACAAGGCTCAGACTCCTTGCAATTTGAATGGCCCAAGAAGACTCTATTGGAAAAAAAGGATCTGAGCTGGATTTTGAAGGAATGGTGATTTTTTTGGATGGCAAAGAGAATGAAGGTTACCCCTGAACCCCTCAGATCAGCATCAGTTCTATTTCTTCTTAGCTCAACTCCAAAATAAGCAATCCTCCCACTGTTCCTTCTCTTTGCTACTTTCCCCCACTCTTCTCCCTTCTCCTGGGAAGTCAAATAAGCCGTCTCCACGAGATGATTCACCTGCCACCGCAGGGGCCTTTGTCTAAAACCCAATCTTAGAATCTGGTCTTTTGAAAATAGAATCCTGGTTCTTTATTTTTACAGTTGATTATCACTAAGTGAACAGCAGTTTCATAATAGTGGGAATGCCCACAGAGTGACTCAGCAAAGAGCCACGTTGTTATTCTAGTCTGGGAAGCGGGAACGATTCCTTTAACAGATAGCGTCCAGGAGACAGGGTACCATCCCATCTGCTCCGCATTGCTGTCTTTGTCGTGACGGGTGGACTTCAGCAAGGCAGTAGCTGGATCAGCCTTCCTGAGTGGATGTCCATTCTGTTGGGCCCATGCATGTCCATCTGTCTCTGCCACCATCATGGCTGTTGTGTTCATGACCCCACGATGGGCTGGCTGATGACAGAGGCTCCCTGAGGTCACCTGGCACAGTCATCCTGTCTCCTTGGGGTGGTGGACGATCTCTGCTGGTTGTTACCAGGGGATACAAAGACCGTCACACTGTTGCGTGCCCGGCAGGTCAACCACATGCAGCTTCCCTGGACCTTCCTATTCCCAATTTTCTTTAAAAACATATTTTTATTGATTTCAGAGAGGAAGGGAGAATGGGACAGAGATAGAAACACAACGATGAGAGAGAATCATTGATTGGCTGCCTCCTTCATGCCCTCTACTGGGGATCGAGCCCACAACCCGGGCATGTGCCCTGACCGGGAATCACACCATGACCTCCTGGTTCATAGGTGGACGCTCAACCACTGAGCCACACTGCCAAGCCGGCATCCTGTTCTTTCTGGGTGTAGAGTGGTCTGGTGGCAGTTCAGTGCGTCATGTCTTATATCAGTGCTGTTAGTCCATGTGGGAGAGGGCTTTGCCACCTTGAGCAATAAACACATTGTTCCTGTGTTTCCTCAGAGATTCACAGAACGTTTAGGGAATCTGTGCTTTCAGTGTTTATTACTCTTCTACTGCTCTTTCCTCTTGCTCAGGTTTCGAACCTGCATCTGAGGGCACCTACTGGTTGGGCACCTACTGGACATGAAGTAGCCTGTCCCCCCCAGCTCCGTCCTGCTGTTTTCAGGCCAGTGTGTGGATCACACAACTCTCTTCTTTGAGGAGGAATTCTGTCATTAGAGATCTTTGGCCCCGTGAGTGCAGCCCTGCTGGTCTTCCTGGTGCACGCTCAATTCCCACTTCCCACCTTGGCCTCTGACCTGCTTCTCAGAGCCCTCACCGCATCTGTTTGTAATCCTGAAAGTGACTGGGTGATTGGCCAGTGTAAACCTCAACGTATTTACATCAGTAAGGTCCGTCGCCCTAAACTGAGTCAAAGCGAGTGGGTGGAAAACACAAGTTGTATGGCCTCCTCGAGTTCCCTTCGTGTTTTTATCAGCTGCAGAATTTTCCATCGCCTGTTCTTTTCCTGCTTCTTCGCCCTCACCTCCCTTTTCTGTGTTGTTCTTGGCACTTCCAGTTCTCAGTTACATCTGAAATAAGCTTTTCACACATTGTTCTCATCCATAGCTTACATCCTCTTTTTCCAGGCAGCTCTATCTCCCAGAACATCACAAGGTCAGAGAGATAACCTTGGCCGAATGTGGGAACTAAGGAACGCCGTGTCGTGACGTAGAAGCTACCCTGGTTTTTTCCAAGGCGGCTCCATATATGTCTTTAGGGATGAAATAAGGATTTTTTTAAAAAAAGGGAAACTTAAGTACACAAATCAGTATCTTCACATTCATCAGGATAAAACTCCCTCGTTACTGTAGCAAATCAACCCCAATCTCAGCCGTTTCTATTTTCCACTCACACACATGCTAGTTGGGGTCGCATGCCTGTTCTGAGCGTGGAAATAATTCCTTCACGCCGCTTTGCTGGGGTCCTTTGCCATCACGGTGCCTATCGTCAGCCCTCGAACAGCGCCCACCCCTTCTCCTCCCCAAACAGAACGTAGTTTTGTGGCTCCGTTAGATCAAGGTCAAATATCAAACTTCCATTCAAGGTTAAATACCGAATTCAAGTAAAGGAGCTGCGGAGAAGTAACCCCCCAGGAAATATTGACTGCATAGAAACATTTCTGGAAGGGTCTTTTTTGCTGCTCACTTTAAGAGGGCC